GGGAATGTCTTCAAACCGAGGTGTAATAAAAAACTGGAGCAGAGATATTCTGTAGAGAAGTGACAAAAAGACTAAAGAGCAGAGACAGTAAATACAGCAGGGACACAGGGATGATGGAATGTAGGTGGAACTGGAAAGACAGAGGAAAATCAGAGTGAGGAGAAAACAGGACAAACAGCAGCTAGAGGGAGACGCAATAAAAAAAAGTAATAATTTGTCAAGAGAAGAGAAAACCTAAAAAAAAAACAAAAAAACCTTTCACCACTGTAAATCAATAAACTCCGTGAGAGATAAACAAAAAATGTCAAAAATAAAAAGTACAGAACCAAAGTGAATAAACATAAAAAAGTCTCACAGTCACAGAGCGCATGAAGGAACGGTCAGTCAGGACTTTGTATGAACGCCTGAGAAAACTCTAACGCCAGAGAGAGGCAGTGTGTTTGTCAGCCATGTGTGAAACAGGTGAAGACGTTAGGTCTAAAGTTCTGAAAACAAGAACAAAAACATTTTGTTATATTACACTTCAGACACAGAAGAAAAATATAGAATTATTATTGATATCTATATTTATAAAAGCTCTTATTTTTAATGTAATTACAGCAGTACACATTAATTATATTCAATTAAAATGAAAATTATTCTCCGAATAAATCCACGAAGCAGGGTAAAGGTACGAAAGTATAAATGTAGTTATCATAAAATTACAATTATATGAACAAAACACAGCAGAGCCGAACGTGTTTTTAAAGTTATCAACAACCTTTCAACATTTCATCTGATTCTCTGAGAAAATGAGTGAGAAAAACACAGAGACAACAAAAGACAAAATTGCACAAAAAATTATTTACAATACAACTGTGGAAAAATGCACAAACAAACCCAAAGAGATTAAAACTGCAGCGGGAGCCTGTCCTCCAGTCATGTGATCCTGGCTAGTGATCTAATGCTATTATTTTTATTATTTTTTTTTTTTTCACAGAGGCCTCAGTCCCTGAGTAGGACTGGTAGTTCATTGATCCTCAGACACTGACAAAGACATCTGACTCATTCTCCTCTGCTCTGGGAGCTGGTTTTTATAATTATAATGATTATTATGAGTTCATATAAATCATGAAAATCATTCCTACTTACTGTAGTTTGTAAAATTTAATAATAATAGCCATATATATATATATATCAATATTAAGATGTAAGATTACGACGATGCAAAGATACCGTAGGTGTTTCATCACATGGTGACTAATACAGATACTGTAGTTGGTGTTGTTTGCCCCCTGCTGGCAATAACAAACCGTGCCGACGGTAGAACTGATTTATTTCTCTAAGCTAACAGCAGACAGTGGACTGCAGTTCATCTCTTGACCACTTTCACCAACTTCACGTAGTACTGCTGCAAAAATGGTGCCATCAAAAAAGTTCAGCTTCTAAAACACTTTATCCAATCAGCGTGATGAATATTGGCTTTAGCGCCCCCCGCATCCCCGCCCCCTGCTCCAATGGACTTTCATTGATCAAATCAGCACACAGCTCCTACAGTAAATGAAGCTATCCTGACGTGCTCCATTGAAACTGAGCTGAGCTTCAACAGGGTTTAATAAGCTCAACACAAACAGACGACTGTGAATGACCCCGTCATAGAGTTGATCGTGGTTCGTCCACCCTCTCCTACCAACTTCCACAGCTTTGACCACCTCGAGGGGCATTTGCAGTCCAGCGGGGTCCAAGCTAATCTGACACATCAGGCCTGAATATTGCCTTCTGCTACATCCTCCAGAAATCTATTTCTGTTATTGGCAGGATATTGATTCTGTGTGAATGGATGGTGAGTCTGGACAGGAACGGGTAGATGATGTGATGTGGGACTGTTACTGCTGCAGTCACACACACACACACAGACGCACACACACTGAGAGCAGCAGCGGCGGGTGATAAGTGTCGGTGCATCATCCGTGCCTGTTCATTGCAGCACCATTAATCCAACACAATACGTCTGCGTAACGCTGTGCTCCAGCCGAGGTGACACTTATCATCTTTAAGAACATGACTGAGGAACCATGACTGCCCGAAAAAGAGGCCGTTATCGCACTTTACGCGTAGATTGAAATTTAAAGGCCGGTTTCATCCACATTAACCGGAACATATGTGCCCCTGTAAATAGACGTGAGGTATCAGCACCAGGATGTCACAGCACTTTAAGAAGCAGAACAAGAACATCAAGAACATCAGTGGAGCAGCGATCAAACCAGTCAAAGCCTGTGAGAATGAAAGAGAGAATGAAATCTGGTGGTGGTAAGATGAAGTTAGTTAGGTCTGAAGAAGAAAAAGGAAATGAAGAAGAAAATGAAGAAGAAGAAGACGATTTGTCAAGTACCAAAAAAAAAAAAAAAATCTGTGTCTGAGACATTCTGAGTAACTCAACAGTTTCTCAGTACTTGAGTAGTTTTTTCTCTTACTCAAGTAATTATTTGGGTGACTGCTTTTTACTTCTACTAAAGTAATATTATTCTGAAGTAACAGTACTTTTACTTGAGTACAATTTCTGGCTTCTCTACCCACCTCTGGACCTGGCTCAGGGTCAGGAGGCTTCACACAACTGCAGTAATCGTCTCTGCTACGAGTGCTTTAGTTGTACAATACTGGTAGAAAAGTCATGAATTTAATGGAATTGATTGATGTCACATTTCACTTGTCTATTTGAAGGTAGAAGGTGGAGTATGAGTGAGTAGATTAGATTCTTCATTGCTCTCGTATTCTAAAGAAATAGTTCAAAACATTCCAATTAATCCAAATACTCTGAAGAGCAAATACACAGAAACGATTTAGTGAATATAGTACCAATGTTAATCCTTTTATTTTCTGCATGATATTTATTCTCCAGTTTCTGCTGTAAATGTACAACAACTCTGCCTGATTATTATTATTATTGATCCTTGGGTGTTTTTGAATTGAATTTTACTGTAGCTCCTGGGCAATGGCTGCAAACTTAAAGCAGTGCTGAGCAGAGCAGCCTGAGTGAGGGAGTAGAGAGGGACGAGCGAGCTGCGGAAATATTCAACAGTCTCTGTTACTGAGCCTTACTACAGTTGTACTACTACACTGAGGGGAGTGTCATATGCTACGTCAAAAAAATCCCTCACTTCTTTTTCCTGCCGGAGGTTGTTTCTGCTGGTGAATATAGATCAGCTCTCCAGGCACAGTCCAATCCTTTAACCCCCACGCCCCCCACCCCTCCAACCCCTTCTGCTGTGAACTAGAATGCAGCCAGCTGCTGTGCTGGTGTGTGACAGTTTAGAGTAAAATTCCCTTTGTGTTCCCAGGACTCATCAGCAATCACCATATCCTCAGGTCATTAGAGGCAGAGAGGAGCGGAGCCAATGTTAAAGAGATTAACACCACCTCCTAAGTGTTTCACAATAACAATGACACTTTTAGCTGCTGTCAGGGTCAAAACGATGTCATCAGAATTATAAATATTCATGATGGCTCCAGACTCAACATCTGACCGTCCAACCACAGCTGTAAACTAGTACTCAAGACTAGTCAATGCTCAACCCTTGACGTTTGACTTTAATCAGTCAAATGTCCATTTATTATCCATAATCCAGGCTCTTCAGATATTAAAAATTTAGACATATCTACAAAGAACTGATAACGGTACCGCTTCAAAAACCAAAATGAATGAACTAACAGCCTATCAGAGCACCGTTGTAAAGTGCAGTTTTAACTAACAGCCTATCAGAGCACCGTTGTCATGGAGATAACAAAAGGTTTACACCTGCAGACCAGACCAAATCACATGCAGTGAGAGATAAGAAAATAGCCTTCTTTAAAACATTTAGCACATGGTCCACATGTATATGGCTCACGGGCCGGATGTGGTCCACGAGCCACAGATTTGATGCTCTAAACTGCTGCTACAGTATGTTTCAAAACAAACAAAATCATTCAATACTGTGTCCCATGAACGATAACTGTGATGTTGTTGTAATATTTTTATTATTCATAACTTTTATCTTTTAACTTTAACACATTGTCACTGGTCACTATGTGAACAAGCAACTCTTTGCGATTTCACGAACTTTCTGGTTCTATAAGTTGAGGTCTAAATTACTGTAGACTTTCTTTGTACTAAAAAGACAGGTACACATTAACTGGCATTATCTGTGATGACAATATTTTATATATATTAAAATACCATGAAACCAACTAGAAATTCAAATTTAATAGGTTATTTGTAACTGTCCCTTTATATGAACGTGTTTTGTTTAAGTTTAAACAACCAAAATAACCAAATTTAGTTCAATAAAACAGTTACTTCAGTAGTACGCACGACTCCGAGTACATGTATATGATGAATTACGCACTTTAATATAATAGTAATTTTCGCCATTACAAAAGTATATATTTTTAATGTGGTCCCTTATGTTTTATATATTGACATTTCTAAGACGTTGTTATTCGCAGCTCTTATTACGTCAGCAGTTAAACTCGTCATATTTCGACTCAAATAAAAATAAAAGTACAAAATATGAAAAACAAAAACGAAAGACCGACTGTGTGAGTTCCACCTGATGTGTGTTTGTGAACATTTATCACCTGCTAAATGAAGTGATTAGTTTTCCACTGGGGGCTGCAGGCTGACACGGATCTGCGGCAGGAGGAGAGAAGCTGGAGCCACGAGACTGCATGGAGGAACATTTGGAGAAAAAAAAGAAAAAAAAAGAGCAGCAGGAGTCTTTAAAACACCGCCCGTGTCACTGCAGGCTGATCTAATCAGACCACAGCATATGGTGTCAAATACAGACAGTGGCCACATTATCCTCCATCTCTCAGCCCCCCCCACTCCCCCTCCTCACTCAGCTCCTCCCCCGTGCACGCGTGCGGGGGCTTCATTTCATCAAATCCTTCAACTTAGACCACTTGTGCTCAGCTGCACTTTTTCACAACACTGCATTCGGGCAACGCCACAACTTGCAGCAGCAGTTTCCTCATCCACCGCGACCACCGGGAGCAGGGACAAGGAGAAAAGGAGAAAAGGAAAGGAATAGGAGGCTTCCGAGAGGACTTTTGCTCTTCTTTCCTCAGCATCCTTCTCTCCTCAGCATCCTTCTCTCCTCTGCCTCCAGTCATGGAGACGCGGCAGTTCTTTTGGCTCCGTGCGCTTCTCCTTTGGCTCCTCGTCATGTTCTGCTCCATCTACGCCACCAGAGCGGACATAACCTGCAGGACGTGCCAGCCTGGAAATAAGTGGCGCGCACGGGAATTGTTGTTGAAATTTGACACGAGCGGATCCTCAACAGGGTCGCGGGGAGAGGAAGTTTTCGGACGCGGGGGTGAGTCAGGGAGAGCCGCGGCCGGAGGTGCTCAGAGCCAGTCGCGCTGCTCTGGCGCAGGCGGCCCGGCGGAATGCGCTCCGGAGCCGCGCGTAAAAGGCGACACCGCGGAGAAAGAGTTCACCAAAGGGAAACTTTCTTCGGTCATCTCCAACAAACACAGAACCAGAAGAGACAGCACCGCCCGTAAGGTCGGCCGTGGTCCGGAGCCGAGACCGGGCGCAGGCTCGGCGGCGCCAGGGCGCAGAGTGACGCGCTCGGACGTGCGCTGGAGCGCAGAGGAGCGGAGAGCCGCGGGTGCCAGGCAGGAGGAGCTGAGGCTCAACAGCTCCACGTTCGCCCTGACCGGGGATTCGTCCCACAACCAGGCCATGGTCCACTGGTCGGGACAGAACAGCAGCGTGAGTCAAACTCTGTGTCCACGTTAAAACACACAGAGATGTGTGTTAGTGAGGACTGTCAGCATACACCAGCCCGTGTGTGTGTGTGTGTGTGTGTGTGTGTGCGTGCCCTCACACTTGTTTTGTAAAATTGTTACATCAGTGCAGTGGCGGTTCAGGATCAGTGGAGACAAAGAAAAAAAAAGAAAAACCAAATAAATAAATAAAAAAGTCTCTGATGGAAGAAAATGTAAATTTAATTTTTGTGGCACTAAAGAGAAAGATTCATAGCCTGTGTATAGGACCAGACCTGATCTCATGGTTCCAAAAAAAAAAAAATCCCCAGTTATATGGACTCAAAAATTGGGATTTAAATAGAAAATAAAATAATGGAAATTTGTGGAAAACTGAAAGTCCAGATAACCCTAACCTTCCCAACTCCCAGCTCTCATGAAACTTGTGACCTTTTGTATTATTACATAATGAATCATATAGAAATTATATTAAAATGACAATATCAGAAGGCAGTGGCCTGACCTGCCTGCCCTTTTGCAAATGCCCCTGCTTTCAGTTCAAATGAGTGAAAACTGTGTTTAAAAACCTGTGCATTGACTGAGGTGTTTGATTGGAACTATTGCCTGCACTCAGTGGAACTGAGGGGAGAGACGAGGAGAGGAGGGTAAAAGAGGGGGACGGAGGGGGAGGCCTTATCTGAGCGGCTGCTCCTCTCTGGGCCAGATGAAATGATGTCCAGATAAAACATGTTGAGCACTGAGCAGCTCTGGATTTTGTCATTGAGCTCAGCAGGTTGTGGGAGAGGTGAAGCTAGAAAAACAACTACCTCTCTCTCTCTCTCCCTCCCTCTCTCTAACTCTGAGTTTCTGACTCACCGACTTCTCTGACTCTCCTTATGACGCTTTCAGTCTGAGTCTCAGCCTCTCTCTCTCTGACTCTCTCCCCCTTTACTCTCTGCCTCTCTCTTCCTGAGTTTCCACTGACTTTCTCCGACTGTTTTTTCCCCCCCTGACTCTCTCTCTCTGACCCTTTCACTCTGACTGGTATTTTAGGTTCTTTCTGCTGAGGCATTGAGAGGATGTGATTTTGTCTGGGTGACAGCAGGGGTCACTGCAGGTTGGGGGTCACCTAACTCTTAGGCACCGATAATGAATGGCTTTATTATCAGTTTAGCGCAGGTGTGAAGCTGCTGACTCATCACTTCACTGACTGCTCGATGAAAAGAAGAGCAATTAAAGGGACGACTCAACATTTTTTGGATTGAGATTATTTTTCAATTGAAAAACCACTGTATGAAAAAAAAAAAGAATGAGTGAATGAGAAAAATCTGCATGTGATTGACAGCTGGCCTGTATATTGGTAAACCACCCTAAAGTTGGGGAATGTAAAAGAAGGAAACACATGATTGGTCAGGGGACCTGTCAGATTATATATATATATATATATATACATATACATATATATATATTCCTTGTTTTCCTTATTCAAGTGTCAGTAACATCACTCCTGGTCTCCACACCCGGCTGTGGATCTGATGGCAGAAGTTCCCAGTGTGATGGTGTGAGCGTTTTGTCTGACACCGTCCCTGGACTCTGCTGTCCAGGGGATGATGATGAGGATGAAGATGAAGATGTCAAACAGTGTCTTCACCTGAGTCCAACCCTGACTGACACCAGCAGCACCTGCAGCCACGCTGCTGTCACAGCGTCCGTTTATTCCGGTGTGTACATAGAAAGACAACAGGGAGGATGAGTGATGTAGTCGGTGACACCCTGGTCTGAGTTCTGTACATGTGTCAGGATCTGTTTCTGCAGAAATATCGGCTCGAGCCTCCGCAGGTGCGGTTGAAGTCACTGCAAAGAAGTTGAAGTGTGACCTGACTGTCCTCAAATATGACAAAAAAAGTATTTAATATACACTGAGTCCTACGTGTTTGGTATAACATGTTAAAAGTCGAATCTGATAATTTAACAAATTGATGTTATGTCGTACATATCCTTGCAATGACTGCACAGACATTTTGACACGGGTTAGCGTTTAGCATTATTTCCGTGCTTCTGGTTTTGCTAATGTGGAAGGATTCCTCATGTGCAGCTTGTCCTGATTCTTTCAGTCCACACAGGCAGCTCAGTGACAGAAGAGAGGAGTCCCATTAAATATTCAGACTGGTGGCTGTGAGTGGGAACAGACGTCCTTCTGTCTTTACAGACGGAGCTGCTGTAGAAACAAACGCATGAGGAAACAAGGTGGAGCCGCGGTGAAGAGATACAGCTCTGAGCCGGGCACACCGGTATAAGCTAAAACAAAATGTCTCTCCAGCAGCGGCTTGTTGGACAGGTCAGTTATCAGAAAGTGATGGGATGACCAACGTGGAACAGGTCGAGCAGTCGTGTGATGACTTCCAGAATGTTTTCTGTGTCTGTTCATGCTGCTAAGGTCACTGAAGGGTGACCAGACTTCACACAGGGATTAGGTTTTTCTTTTTCCAGAGACACCCAAAGACATGAAGTACGTCCATTGTTCACATGTCTTTGTTATCACTCAGCCACAGCTCTATCTCTGTTAGAATACAATTGAATTATTATCGTTATTATTTCATCTCAATAAGGAACTGTCAATCTCCGTTACTGTAGCAACATTTGAACTGGCAGCTCTCTCCTGATGACAGGCTGAGTCACTTGCACATTTGCAAATCAGTATTTTATTTTTCTTCAGTTTCACTCTCATATTTCATGACACTGTTTGTGAAATGAAAACATTTTACAGTCAAATATCTGCAACAATGATACTGGAAGGACAAGAGAACATAACAATAGTTAACAGCCGACGTGTGCAATCAGTATAATGGGTGGGTGGGGAGAGAGAGAGGGGTGAGGAGGGGGTTGTCTGTGTGTGTGGTCTAGGTACAGCTACCCGTGTGGGGACTTTTCCCTTGGTAAATTGTTTTGTTGTGGCGATATTTTCAAGGCTCACACTAAGAGAATATTTTGATGAGTAACATTTAGTTTGGAGTTAGGATCAGAGTTAGTTAGAGGAAACATTAAGATTAGGCCTGTGTTTCTAATGTGTAAGGTTACGGTAAGGCAGTGTTTTTCAACCTTGGGGTCGCAACCCCACATGGGGTCACCTGGGATTCAAATGTCTAGTAAGTGATAATAAAAAACAATACTGATAAATATATATTTTTTTAACTAATTATTTTTTTTATTATGATTATAAACAACACACTCATTGTTCTTCACTCTCTGTATTTGCAACACAGTAGAAGAACCATGATCAAAGACTAATTCTAGGGAATAAGGTCTTACCAGTGTGTGTGCGTGTGTGTGTGTGGCCAAACACCTGCTGCGCTCTTGGCTCCAGCAGAGCAGCTCTGAGGTTTGCAGAGAAAGGTTAGAGTCAAAGATCAGTCTCAGTGTGGCTCCTGTGGCATATCGCTCAGATGGATGTAGAACATGCAGAGGGACAGTATTATTTACATTAGAAATGTCAGGCATTAAATACTCTGGTGTGTCACTCTGGTAGGTCCAGGCTGACGTAGTGTCTGTCTGTTCACGGTGGGGACTGCAGGGGCTTCACGGGCCTATTGTCCTGTTGCTGGCTGCAAAAAAAACAAACAAAGGCAGAAGCATCACCATGTGACACCTGACTGCAGGCAGAGGTCGTTTTCATGGAGAAGAACTCCATCTGAAGGAGTGTGCTGTTGTTCACTGTGTTAATGATCACAGGAGCTTCTTTATGTCATCATGACAATGGAACTCACGCTCACATGGTACATATGGTACACTTCACCACCTCGCTGTTGTTCTGTGTTCTCTCCCAGCCGTGGTAACAGCCAGTTTGCCTCCAGCTCACGGACCAGGTTTTTCCAGAGTCCCAGCTCTGCTGTGCGCTGACATCTTCTCCACACCATAAAGCCATCATAATGTATAATTTGCAGACTCTTAGGGACCGGTGAGGGTACACAAAGCTGTGGTACCAGTAACAAACGGAACACATTAACAACCTGCCGGTCCAAGACGGAGCAAATCAAACGTATGGTTTGGGAAAGACGTCGGACGTAATGACACTGTTTTTGTTATCGTGTCGTTATATCCAGGTGACAAGTGGATTTGAGTCAAGGTTACTTTCTCCAGAGTCTGGGTAATATTTATGCTCTATTCTCTTTTTAATAATATTAGTCTGTACTTGTGAGAAAAAAGGTTAAAACAATATTTAAAGTCAGCTCTCCATTAAAAGTGATCTTCAGGAAATATAATCTTGCCACCTGGAGATAACAGGAGAGGTCAACCTAACTACAATTTATGATTCATTAATTTATTCACTTATTCATTTTAATCGTTGACTCATTAAACCGTTCATCTTCTACTATTTTATTTTTTACTTTGTTTATTGCTTTACTTATTTGATCATTTTTTAGGGTCGTAGACGGGGTCACGCCTTGTGCAGTTCTGTAGTCTATCAAAGGGTCAAATGGTAGTATCTCGATAATGTATCCTCATCAAACGATGTCCGATGTCCTCGACCTACGGTGTTTCGTGGTCAGGTCTCACTCTCCCATAAATAATTTCAATAGTCTCGTCCCATTCTAACATATGGCCTAAAGAACTTACCGACTTGTTAGCACTGGAAACAGTTGGCAAGTGGAGCGGACAAATACTACAGTATATGCGGATGACGGCTTTGTTTACATTGCTGGTTGTACACCATACATTGGATTGTGCTTCATTTGTTTCCTTTTGTTTGTATTGTTCTTCTGGGAAACTTTTTGCCCTTCATTTTGGCTCCTAGGTGAAAGTTGGACTCTTCTGATGTTTTTATGTCCTAGATTATGATGTCACCACTTTTGTAGCGTATGTAAGATCTGAGTTATGGCGAACATCAAGTTATGTCATACCAAAGGAACCTCATAATTGATTCAACTAATAGTCATGACAATAAGATTCCCCTGCTTACCACTAGGCAGAGCCTAAGTGCCGTTCGTGGTACCTGCACCATAAATTGGG